AGCCATCCCTTGGATYGGGCTGCGCTCCGTGCTGGGTGATGCTTCCCTCTGCTTCCGTGTCCTCCAGCATGACAAAATAAACACCCTGGAGGGCCCTAGAGATTGTGACCTGCCACCAGCGTGTCCAGGACATCCGTGGGACGGGATTCCTGCTTCCTGGCATCGGATTTACTGCATGCCAAAGTGGGATACCCACCGGGATCGGGCAAATCCATCCGTGTTCATGCACCAGAGCGGTACCTCTGCCTTGCAGGAGAGAGCACTGAGTGAACCCAAAGTAATGTGGATTAAAGGAAAATGCAGAACGGCAGAGGCCATATGAACTAAGCAGGGGTATTTTCTAGCTGTCTAGTCTAACGATTGGTATCGTTTTTCTCTAGGATTACAGGGGCTTTCACCTCATAAATTTGGGCCTGTTTTAGGTCGTTAATCTTTCTTTACATGTTGCCTTGCAATTTTAGAGCTTTGCCACCATCTGGGATCACATTTTAAATGGAGTTTCCACTCAGTACGTTCCTTTTCATGAAATTATTTATATATAAAGAAATATATAATAAATATATCGGGCCTGGGGATTGGTTTTAAACATTCTCGGTGCTTTCGCAAGGGCTTTCCTTGTGTGGAGAAACTTGTCTTCTCTAATCGAGAGCCGTAACAGTGGCCAATTAAAGGATCACGTTTGCAATATGCTCTTAAATGGCAATTTAAAATATTGGTGGGTCGCGTGGCGTTGCCATCGCGGCCGTGGGAGGGGACAGGGTGGAACTCCAGTTTGGGGGCTCCTCTTGGCCATCGGCGTGTGCGTTTTGGGGGAAAAATGGGTCGCGAGCTCGGGGAGGATGGGAGGTGGAAAGGAGCCACCTCTTCTGCATGGAAGAAGAGCAGCCATGTGGAGGGGTCATTGGGGTCTCCAGATGGTCCATGCAAGTGGAGGAACCTTCATCCCTGCTTGGGCAGCTCGGGTGGAGAGGTTTGCAGAGCAGCTCATGAGGTGCGGTGTCTGGCAGGGAAGGAATCGATGTTGAGCCTGTTGGGCTGCGTTAGGTCCCCAAGATCCTCTCAACATCTCGGCTCTGATGTCCCTTGGTACCGTCCTCCTGCAGGGCACTGCCCTCGGTGGCAGCTTCCAGGTGGGAGCTCGGCGCTCGCTTCCCGTGCGTTCGGAGCGTGGTGATGTCCCTTAGCCCTGGTTTGTCACCAAGGCACCTTCCAATCCGGGACAMCCGAGCCTGACGGGACCCATCCCTGGTGCTGCTGACACTCAGGCTCTTCCATGGGCACGAGGAGGGAGGGCAATGAGGAACCCACAGCTGGTAGCCCTGGAGTCCTCCGGCCCCACCAGAGCCGAGATGTCTGTTCCAGGCCCTGCTAGTTATTTTGAAGGGATTTTGAACAAATAAATAGCCGGAGCGGTTCTGCAGTTCCTTGTGTAATTTTAGCTCTGGACCCCTCCAAGAATGTACAGAATAAATAGGTGAATCTGTAACACATCCCCAATTAACTCTATATACAGCAAGCAGCTCCAAGGCATGCTATGTGTGAGCAGAGTCAATAAACAGGTACGCTGCGGGCCACGGAAATGTGGTCTTTATTATGGAGGAGGGTAGCCCTGAGCAAGGGTGCCGGCTGGAAAAGCAAACAGTGCAGCCACAGATCCCGCTGCCCCCACCCAATCTGCGGGAATTCCAAAACCAGCATTTAAATGTACCCCGGTAAAATAGATGGCTGGGGGGGGACTTTGCTGCTCGCCGGCGCCGCGGGAAGTCGCGGCCGGGCCGGCACGAGCRAGCAGGGGTCCCGCTGCGCCCGGGACTGTGCAAACATGCAGCTTGGCCCGCACGGGGAGAATTCCTCGGGATGCTTCCCGATGCGGAGGGAGGCGTAAAATTGCACGGCGGAAGGTTCTCCCAAGCCCCCTTGGGCAGCCGCGCGTGCAGCCGGCGCTCCGCGAGAAACCCAATGCCCAGACGTGAGGCATTTCCCCGATTTTTCATGCTTTTAACTTTTCCTTGCTGAGGCTTCGCTCGGCCGGGAGAAGTAGGGACCTGTTTCAGCTTTGAAAAGTCTTGGACACGGGGAAGGCCGGGGAAAGGAGTTAAAAATGAAGCAGCAGATTTATATATATAAAAAGTAAAAATATATGTTCTACATCTGAAGTTTATTTAGGTCCTTGGGGAGAGTGGCGCGGCACTACGTCTCTACTAAACTGCCAACATTTTATGGTCGTGCTGGCACCGAGTCAAACACACATCTCCTTGGCTTGGGYTGCTGTCTTGAAGCAGGCAGATTCCAGTCTGTTTTTCTATGAGCTGAATATTACTATTGAGCAGAGAAGGGAAGCTCTGCCCGACAAGGAATATAGGTGACTTTTTTGATAGCTCTATCAAGACTTAATGGTTTTGATGTTGCATTGCCGAAGAGGTGACCACCTAGACAATAGAGCTGCGTGTGTTTTAAGACAGATGCAACTTTTTAATTTTTTTTTTTTGATTGGAGCTATATCAATAATGAGAAGGTTTGAAAGGTGCTAGTTTTAACTGCATTGTATACAGAACTATGCTAGGAGCGGCCACATTGCARCTTGTGTGCTTGCATAGAAATGCATGTATTGAATGTTAATGCTCACACGCAACTGCAGTGGGGATTTACATAGGATAACTGCTCAGTTTCCTATCAAAATCATATCCTTCCTCTCTCTCTCTCTCTCTCTACATATATATATATATTTTTGTGCAAAATCTGTGTTGCTCCTCAGCCGGGCGAGCTGCACGTTTAGCGTGCCTGCCACCGATCCTGATGAGCATCAGGAAGCTGCGCTCGTCAGGACGTTGTAGCCACATGCAGGGGAGCATTTAATAATAATTCCCAGCGTGGGTTTCCATTTGCCTCGACAGGGCTCTGCTGCCCTTCACACCTTCCTGCCTGTGCCAAGGACATCCTCCCTTGTGGCTGCTGGAGCCCCYGGGTGCCCACACACTGTTAGTGAGGTGTCTGTGAGGCCAAGCTAATCCGATTTATTGTGATTGAATACTTGGTTTTCTCAGCATTTATTCCAGGGTGTTTTCATTCCATTTCTTACTATGTTTTTCGAGACTTTTCTCACGGTTATCTGCCCTCTGGTGTGAGCTCTGTGGTTCAGGAGGAGCTTTTCCAGGTAAAGATGAATTGCAGCATCCCAAGCGTCCAAGAATGGTTTGTGCTTGCATTGCTTTCCATGGAGTCGAACGTTGGGGCTGTGGAGATGCCCGAGGACACAGATTAAATGGGGAAGGAAAGGTAAAATTCACCACAGCCAAGGACAAAATGACCTTGGGAAGGGACCTCCCGGCTCCTCCTCATCCAAGAGGACAGAGTCTTCCCTAGGCTCCGACTTGGCTCCTGAAGCCAGCGGTGCCCCCTGAGATGAAGGGCCAACCCAGTGGGTTGCTCCAGGACAAGGCAGGGGCYGTTTCCAGCACACGGACAGGAGAGCAGGAGCTTTTCCCAGCCGGGATGGGGTGGCTAACGCAGGATTAAGGACTTGGTCAGAGTTTATGTTACGTGGGCCATGCCCATAAGGAAAAAGGGCTGGAGAGGAGAGTGCGGGCGCATTTACAGTCCCAGAGAAGAGCCCCTGCTCTGGTGCATAATAGCCTTCTGTTGGGCTTTAGTAGCATATAGTTTAGTAAATTAGGAGAATTCAGGTACTTAGCACTTTAATGGTTCTCACTAAGAACATAATTAAACCATCGACCCCTTAGGGAGAAAGACCAGTTTATTGTGCATATTTTTAGAATCTGTTACCAGCCCTCATAAAAGCTGCTAGATACAAGCCAGAGAACAGGCTTAGCTGGCAGCAGCGACCCCATTGATCAGCGCGGGCAGCCCCTGCCCAGTCTCGCCCCACAGTCGCACGTTGCAAATCTGTCCCGTGAATTATGGAATTAATTTTCCCCAATCTCCTTTCAAAACACATTGGCAGGGCAGTTTCTCCCTTGTTGGAGGTGTGAGGGAAGCGGGAGGTTTATTATATTGCACCGGGGCTGATGCAGAGAGCCGGGTTCTACTGTTCTTTTATTTATTTTCTCTTTTCAAACGTGTTTCTTGCCGTGTGTCAGAGCAAGGGGCCCTGCGTTATCCGGGGTGTCCGCAGGCAGCTGCCGGACACCATCTTATCTCGCCCCGCCACCGTGATAACAGCAGTGCTAAGACACGAAGGTTGGAAATGCCACCATATCACGGAGCAGTTATAAACCTGCCTTGGGTTTCTTACCTGCTTTGCTGCTTTTTTGCCCCATTTCCCGCTTCAGCGGAAGACTCGGGCCCTGCTAATGCRGCTGCGTGTGATGCTTTAGTTAGATGTGCTGAGGGAAATTGTTGCCTTTTTGTTCAAATTGCAGCGTTTCTGTGTGTTGTCGTCGTTAAGGTATCAGGATTTGTTGCTGTTCCCTTTGTAAAATGTTGCACTGGGTGGAAGGTTTCCCAATGTMAAAAAAAAATCGGGCCGATAGAAGGAAAACCTTGTATCAAGGCCAGCATGCAAATATCTTAAACCAATATAGCATGTTTAGAGGAATTATACTTTCCTCTCGTGAATTATGATTTTGGAAAGCAGCGCCACCACCACATTTATTTCAAATTTAAACATTCGCAAGGAGTCTCTGCTCGGCCTGCGAATCTGGTTTCCATCGCGGCTCCGCACGCCGCTGCCCGACCCTGGGAAAGTCTTTTCCTGGGCCCCGCTCTCTCGGAGCTGCCCTGATGCTCTTAGCACTTCAGATTTAGCGTGGGATTTAGCGTGGGTCGGAGTTGAGCAACGTTTTGGTGTTACCTGGTGGTGGGGTTCCTTGCAGCTGGATGGGTGTTTGTGTTTTTTTGGTTATAATGGAAAATGCAAATTAAAACTCTGCTTTTTTAAAGGTGCTTTGGTTTAAAACTGCCTTTGTTTTCCATGAGAAGAGTTGAAGGGGCCGGGAAAGGGGCTCGGCTCCAGGTGACCCCTCTTCTCCTTCCTCTTGCAGACGCAGCCGGTGCCCAACCCCGTCGCCTACTTCATGCACCGCTCGCCGTGGTGGTTCCACCGCTTCGAGACCTTGTTCAACCACTTCATCGAGCTCCTGGTGCCCTTCTTCCTCTTCCTCGGGCGCCGCATGTGCCTCGTGCACGGCGTCCTGCAGATCCTCTTCCAGGTGAGATGTTCCCGGCTTTCCTTTCTCAGGGTCACGCTTTGCCCAGGAAATCATGGGGCTTCCAGAGGGAATAACGTCTGTCCTGCGATGCAGGTGGGTGCTGAGATGTTAGCTCGGGGACCAGGGCAAAGAGATGGCCCCAACGTGGACTGAAGGCTGGGGAAAGCCTGGAGGAGTATTTGCAAGCTCTCCACAAGGATTTTATCTCTTTCAGACAGCATCTTTCACGCTTTGAAGCGAATTAGACGTTTAATGTTTTCTCTGAAAACGTTTGCATTCTGATTTTCCCAAGTGTCAGGGTTGCGAAGATTTATAGTGAAAGTCATTCATTCACAAAGCAATAGCATTCGCGTTCCAACTGTTGAGTTTTTGGTTTACATTAAATTAGAGAATTTGTGCAAAAGCAGAGAGCAGGAGATCCTGCATGTGTCCCTCCCTGCTCCCGTCGGAGCGCTGTCGCCCTGCTCCTGCCCCGGGACAGTTGAGAAGTGTCATTAAACCCCAGCCGCCTCAGCCTGCAGACGCGCAGCCTCCGGTTCCTCCGCGCCGCTGCTCCATCCTGGAATTACTGCAGTGGAGCTGTTCCTGCTTCCTGGAAATACGTGCCATGATTAAACTGCAGAACAGCTTATAAACGGTATTGGTAAACCACAAAAATGCTGATCAGATTTTAAAGGGCTGACATAAAAAGCCGAGGGATTTGTGTGTTCGCACAGAGACGGCTGCTCCCCTTCTCGGTTCGGAAACACGTCCTGGCCACGGGAGCTCGGCCCGCTGCTCCTTTGGTGGCAGGGAGCTTCTCGGTGTGGCTGGAGGTCCCCGATCCGGAGCAGAGCAAGGGTGGCTGCGCTGGGCGTCGAGGGCATCCCGGCTCCTTGCTCCGTCTGGGGTTAGTAGGAGGCTCTGCTCGTGGTGGCCGTGCGGCAGGAGAAGGTTTGGAGAACCTGCCTTCTCTTCCTTGGGCGAGGACAACATCGCGGAGCAGGGGATGGATGGAAACCAGCTCAGCGTGCCAGGCATGGCAAGTGGGAATAGCGGGGACGTGCATGGTGGCTACTGGGTTTTAGGGCAAATAAGCCAAGCAGGGAGCATGGTGGAGGGCCTCGGGAAACGAAGCGGTGCTGCCCAGTCCCCGTGCCAGGGCTGCTGAACTTCAGAGGCTGCGACCAGAGCAGGCAAACTGTACCCAAAAAAAGGCCCATAATGACATATTGTAAATGCGTGCATCTAACCGCCCTTTAATTGGCGCTTTATTGATAGTTTGCAATTACTGACTCATTTCTATCAGGAGGGGAGTCTGCAAAGGGAGAAAGGGTCCCAGTGTAACGTGCGGCTCTGGTGCATTTATAGCATTTCAACAAAAACCTGTTTATTTAATATTTACTGCCCTTTTCTTCATTCAGAATGACTTTTATTGACAATACCTCTGCTCTGCAAAGGAAGCAATAAAGTTTAATGTTGATATACCACTTAATTCTGCTTTTCAAGATTTGAATTGACATTACATGCAAGTTTTATTGGACATTTTATAATTGTTATTGGAGTCATGGTGGCTAGCTTGAGTAAGTGTGTTTTTCCAGATTCCAACTGGCCTGGAGAATATTGCTTTGTCAGGAGCCCAAAAAGAGTCGTGTTTAAAAGGGAAAAAAAGAGAAGGTCTTGTTTTCAAGTGTGAATTTACCTTTCTTGCTGCTTTTCACTTGTGTAGGGAAAAATGCTTAGGGAGGAGCGTGGTCAGGAGGGGCGGGAGGCTGCCCAGAGCTCCGGAGGGTCCGTGTCTGCCGGCATTCCCGGCAGGCACGCAGGGGTTTGTGCCATGATGCTCCTTGTCTCTTCCCGCTTGTGTGCCGGGAATCTTGCAGTGACAGGAGGTGCAGCCGAGTCCCGAATGGGCCCCGGCGTCCGGGCACGGTGCCTTGGGTGCGCATCCGAGGGGTGCAGTTTTGGAGGACACTTGGGCTCTGCCTGCGCTGACACGGGTGCCCTTAACCTGAGCTGCCAGGAATCTCCCCGCTTGGCTGCTTTTTGATCTGTAATGATTCCCCTGCAAGCCCAAGAGTCTTAGTTACTGCAAGTCACTCGGTATAAATAGACTTTGCTTTAAAATAAAAGAATCGAGTGTGTTGAATGCTGGCCAGCTCCCATTAGGAAAATCATTATTCATGGTTGCTAACCAGCAGACTGGGGAGGACTTGGTGATTTGCAGCTGGGGGGTAGTTTTTGCAGGGCATCTAGTTGAGACCCTGCACCCAGCTCTTCTGACCTCTTAATTGCTGCTTGAAACCCCAGTCTCCTGAGAAGAGATGTTTGCAGCGTGAAGAGCTGGCCGTGGGGATGAAGCTTTGGGACAAGGCTCTTCCTCGGCCACAGGAGCCTCTCTGAGCCGCGTGTCACACGGAGATCTCTAGCAAAGACCCCAGCGTGGTCTGCACAGGTTAACATCGCCCCGGGAGGCTCTTTTCTTCCTTCAGTGCCTGCTGGGATTCAAACCCTTGGGGTTTCCGAGACCAGAGGAGCACTTGGACCCGTCCCACGTGCAAGGGACCTTCCGCAGGTGGCGGGTTGGCACGAAGGTCTTGCCCATTGGTGGCACCACCGTCTCCCCTGTTGTCCCCGGTGCACTCAGTGCAGCTCCCCGTGCAAAGGGTGCAATTGTAGAGGAAGAGCAGCCAGCCAGAGAGGGTCTCCAAGGTAAATATGCAGCATTGTTAGAAAGAACGTGCTTTTTTTCAAGCATTTACAGTGCGTGGAAACCCGGAACTAAAACAGAAATTAAACTAACTGAACATTTAGCTTTTCAACATCGTTAGGGATTTATTGTGAGCAGGTGCCAGACTCGACGTGTCGAGCAACACCGCTGCAAATTGTCCTTGCCAGGAATAAAACCAGAGGAGAGACGTATAACTGAGCTGCTTTGCTGCTCGGTCCTGCCCAACAGGACCTGTAAAAACAGCCCGGTGCGAAATGTGCAATCTCAGCCACAGAAATCTCCCAAGAAGCCCGAGGCAGTTTGCCCTCTGCTCGTGTGTTGCCAGCAGGGTTTCTCCTCGCCAAACATGGGGAGCTTTTGGCTACCATTTATTTTTACCCTTCCTGGGAAGTTTGGGCAGAGTTTGCAGGCGCTGTGTTGAGGCGGAGCCGTGTTCGTGGAGATGCCGGCGTGCAGAGGTGGTGGCCGCAACCAGAGCTGGTGCGTGTGACAGCTGCAGCTTCAGCTAAAGGGGGTTGTGGTGGCCCCAGGGGATGTTCCACGGGTGGTTTTGGTCAGTGATTCCTGCTTTGGGAGTCAATAGGAGCCACTGGCCAAAGGTAAGAACCTAATCAAGTGCACCCTGGCCTCGGTCACGGGGCACAGCCTGCGGTGTTCACCAAGTCGGGAGAGTTTTAAGCCTTCAAGTCCATTGTGCCTCTGAGTGGGAGGCCAAGGTCCGGCCTGTGCCAGAAGGACCAGGACGTGGTGCCCATGGGATGAGCGGAGCCTTTCCCGTCTGGGTGCAGGTTGTGCCAGCAGCTCCTGGACATATCGTGCCCGGTGCTTCCCGACTCACGGAGTGCTGGTGGCACCAGGGGAGCCAAGTGCGGAAGGGCCAGGGATGCACCCTGAAATCCTCCCCGAGATCCCTGCAGTGGCTCCGATGGGTCCCTGCTCTGACACGCGCGCCTGTCCCCGCTGTCCTGGGGCTGCCACCGCTTGCCCTGGCGCCGCTCCGGCTCCGCTTTCACCCAAAAACGGGAAATCGGAGACCTTACAGGCCAGATTGGTGCTTCTGTTTAAGCCACCTTAAATACCAAGCTGAAAATCCAACCTAAAACATCCCGCTTGGGCCAGCAGTGCCCAAACTGCTCAGTTGCAGCCCAGGTTTGACTTCAGGCCAGCGCGATGGGCGCAGGCTCAGCTAGGCCGCCGCGAGCAGCGCGCTCGGGGACGGGTCTGGTATTAGTTAGCAACAAGTTAAGTCCTTGCATTTTGCAGTAGTCAGAGCAACTTAGAAACACTTACTGTTAGCCATAGGAGTGCATTTAATTAGCTTCGGATTCAGGGGGCTGGAGGGTTTTTTTTTTTCTTTTCTTTTTCTTCTTTTTTTTAACCATTAAATAAAGTGTCACCCCTAGCCAGTGCTGTAAACTCTATTTTGATTGTGGCTGCAATAACCCCTTTGGGCGTCATTCAAATTGTACTAAACAGTTTCTGGAGAGCACTGGTTTCTCTCAAAATAAACCAAAGTCCGGCTTTGACAAGCTCTAATGAAAAACAAATTGTTATATTACTTAGAAAAATAATTTGAAGGAAGTCTGAATTAGTTGTAAAGGTGGAAAAGGTTCAGCTACTTGAAAATAGAAGTTTGGAAGGTATTTATTTTAACCATTAAGCCCGCGGCCTTGAAATACAGCCTTGTTTGTTTCTGCGTGCGCCTAACGAGAGACATGAATCATGCTGTTAATCAGTATGGGAACTTGATTAATTGGAGAGGGGGCTGGCGACGGCTCCCACGGGCGCACAGCCCTGGCGGAGGCCCCGCTTCCCGCCGGCATTCCCGGCCCGTTGTGCGGCTGGCACGGGGAACGGCGTTGGAGGGTCCCCCGCCGCACCGGTGGGCCCGTGTTGATGCCTCTTGTTTTGAGGCCGGCTGGAGCTCGGTGAGTTTGGCCATCAGCAGGCACCACTTGGCTTTCCGTTCCGCCTCTATGCGGTTGTCCATGTGGTCCAAGGGGCCGTGGCCAAGGCGGATTGGGGCCGCGGGGCCGGCGCTGTGCCTTGGGCTGTGCTGGTGGCTGCTGGTGGCCCCGGGGGGACAGCAACGTGTAGACCTGCAGAGAGCCCGAGCCACATCCCGCCCTGCAGGGCTGGCTCGGCCTAGGGGCACCCGCGCGCTCTGGGTGCCCTTCTCCTTCGCCCACGTTGCAGCCTTTCGGGGCGCTCGTGGGGCTCGTTTGTGGGGTCCCCTGTGCAGACTCGCACCCTTCCCCTCTTCCCACATTGCAAACCCCTTCCCGGGCCG